TCCAACCCCTGACATTGTGATTCTGTGACAGGACAAGGGGATTTAAACTGAAGGAGAACAGGTTTAGACTGGATCTTAGAAAGAAGTTCTTCAGTGTGAAGGTGGCCAGACTCTGGACTAGATTGCCCAGAGAGGTTGTGGCTGGCCCCCCCCTTTAGGGGTGGCTGCCCCCTCCCTGGAGGTGTTCAGGGCCAGGCTGGATGAGCCTGAAGCAACCTGGTCTAGTTAAGGGCATCCCTGCCCATGGCAGGAGGTTGGATTAGATGATTTCTAAGGTCCCTTCCAACCTAGGCCGTTCTAGGATTCCATAATCTCCAAAGAGCCTTTTGACATCGCACCAAGTGCCCCTACTACTAGCAGACCCAGTTGATTTTTTAGAGGAAGCTATTGTCAGTAACTTTCCTCAGAAAAGACCAATGAACTGGGGTTGCAAGAATAAATGAACATTAAAATAGTATCGGTCGAGTAAACATATTGCATATTATAAGCAAGAACTCAGGGATTCTACTACTCACTTCCATAGTGTCTTTTGAAAGATAAACGACCCAATACACCAGGTTGAATCCTGCAAATGCCACTGGGAAGAGGATCCTGGAGTACTGGTCTATTTTACTTGTGCCTCCAATAGCTGGTGGTGGGGCTGGGGGAGGAACGGGCGCTGGTTGACACTGGGATGCAGTGTTTGATATGATGCTGGCTTCAGGAGACTGGTCTGCCTGCGATATTATGGAGTTCACTCGCTTCTTCAGGTTACAGTTGGAGTCAGAATGCTGTAAAAGAAAAAAAGAAAGAGGAAAAAAGTGTGATTTTTGATACAGAGTCTTACATTTTGTGATTTTTGGATACCAAGTATTAAGTTTTGTGATCGTGAGGCTTCTCTCCCCCTTTCTACTTGACTGCCTGATTTTATTGCTGGTTCTCTGCTACAGAGCAACGTAAGGAATTCAGAAAAATAATGCAAATCTAGAGAGATATGTTTGTGGCCTAAAGCTTCGCTGTAAAAACATAAAATAATATGCAATCCCTGTATTTTTTTTACATGGCAATAAACAGGAGCTACAAGAGAGAACAAAAACGCCAGAGCTAAAAGGAAAATAAAAGAAGGTAATGTTGTATCTAAATTGCAATATACTGGTGTGACTGAAGCTTGCATAGACTTGAATCAAGTTTAAACAAAACAGCACATAGGGGCTGGCTCGGGTGCAGTCCTCACTGTTTTAAGTCCAGTGACGAATTTTGGGAAGCACTCACTGCACCGAGTGAAGCTGTCACGGTGGTTTCAGTCCCCACCCTGGCTGCTGCTGAGCTAGGAAATTGCTGCACAAAAGCAAACAGACTAACTTTACAGGAGCAGGAGACACAAGTGCTCAATTGGCCTCTACTTTTTTTACAGGATGGAATTTCATTTCCAGATCTGTCTCATGATTGCTACAGCAGTTTCAGGCATACAACCGAAGACTCCTCCTAACTGACTAATTATTTGTGGTAAACCAAAACCACCTGTTCCTGTATTTTGTGCAATAGTCACAGCTAGAAAGCCCTGTGAAACTCGTTAAGAATTTAGCCAGACCTCAGGAACCTTTAGAGTTTACCTCCTAGCTGCCAGCCTGACAAGCGCATTCATTATGTACTCCTGTTCTAGTTGTGGCCAAGTTGCCTTTTTTTGTTTTTTTTTTTTTACTTTCACAAGAATAGAAGTAACAAATTTCTTGCTTGCAGAAACGGCTCAGGAAAGGCCCCAGCACCAGCTCCAAGTCTGCTCTAATGGCTATCAGTTACCCACTCTCACAGTGCTATCAAAAGGGAGGCAATTTTCAAAACCATTGCTGCTCCTGCCACTACCCAGGACTCCCATTAGTAAAGTGATGCCTAGCAGCAGCCGTAAGATTTGTCTGAAGGCTCAGAAAACACAGAATTCCTAGAGTGTCAAGTCCTTTTTTATTGTTTTGATGTGCAGCACTCAGGCTTTCTGCAGCAGGAAGCAACAGAAGTGCCGCAGACTCTGAAAAGCAAGGCGACCGTGCAACATTTCAGTTGAGATTGAGTCTTAAAGCTTCATCAAGAAGAGATTGCAAAACTTATTTCCAGTTTGTTGATGAAAAATCTTGTGCACAAAATTCCCAAACGTGCGCAGCTATTCTTGGCTTGGAATAAGTAGCTTTTTTGGTCAGCCTCAGCATGACTGAAGCTGATGAGGGAAGTTGCAGACAATGTAAATAACTTGCACTACAGCAACACATGTATCTATTGTAAAACAGAATAGTAACAGTTGGATGCTTTTAAGGTAGAAAAATTCTGTTAGCTATGCAATTTCCAAAGTCATTCTTTGCAAGTCACTTAATGACAATCATTCACCTAAATGTAGCCCACTGGCAGCATTTTGGGGATTTATCTGGCAGGATTTCTACGCACAGAAACAGATTTTGGTCAGAGAAATAATGACAGGATCATTAAAAGGAAAAGAAGCATTTTCTGAAATACGTTGCCCATGCTTGTACTTTGGTTACAATTTCTAGATAAAAGACTAGTCTGACACACCTGGGATCTCACCTATCATTTAAAACACAGTTATTACAGGCATTATCCTTTCAGAAGTGTTTAGAAGTGTTAGTGCCAGAGCATTGGAACAAGTGACGCTGCCACAACACGATGCCAAGTTCTGCTGATGCATGAATAGACTGGTATCCAGCTGAAATTAGGGAGAGATGGATCCCTCACAGCTGATTTTGCTCTAAGGGTGAAGAGAACAAGGTATTATTTTGGAAAAAAAAAGAAAAAAAACCCCAAACCTGCCTTTTCAGTGTATTTCTCTTATCTGTTGCCCTTTTCCTTCCCCCACAACCCACCCACACTTCCAACTTGCCACAGCCCTCCTTCCGCTGTCCCATCTACACACTCAATGATTAGTGTCACGTTTCAAACGGAGAGTAAATGGCATTCGTATTCTGGGGCTGTGCCTGCATGGAACACAGATGTTTGGGTTTGTATTTTCCAGCAACAGACAGATTTAAAGTGAAGGATGATCTACGGCTGTCACAGAAACAGAAAGAGGGTTATCCATGTCCACTTGCGCTAATCATCATGGTAATCCCACTCTATAAACTGACTGACTGACCGAGCCAGAGCTACTGCTTTCATTCAAGTTATTATTCCGTTTTGCTAAGGTGAGTTTGAGCCCTTTGTAGATAATTCTGGTATAAGATGGGTCAAATTTTGCTCTGGATCATTCAAGCACGAATCACGAGTTCTTGTACTGAGGTGATGGAGTTCACAGCAGGCAGAACAGATGTAGCACCTGGCAATGAACGGATTTAGAATGTAGAGGTGGTAAAATCATTGTGAAGGCCTGAGTAAGCATTTAGAAAAGTGTAATCCTGGTCATTATTTTATTTATGTTATTCATTAAATCTCATTTCTATAGAAGGAGATTTGCTATAGAAGGAGGATTAGCCCAGTGAGATTTCTTCTCAAGTTGGAGACAGAGTGTGAAGATCTGGAGTCAATATCCCCAGAACTTGGGGAGCGCACTAAATAACTTCATTACGCTCCCATTTTGGGGCTGCTTTAGGTCTGGGGCTGGTTTAGGTCCATCGCTATCAATGGAGTGTTATTAATAACTTCTCAGTATCTAAACCAGCCTATTTGAATACTCGGGAAGAACCAGCGCATTTTACTATCTCAGTAAAGCCAGCTTTTTGTCGTACTCTTCACCTGTGAAGGAGATGGTTGAGAGTTGATATAAATCATTAAGGAAGTCCCCTGAGTTGTTCTTTACACCCAGCAAGCCAGGGTGGTCAAGACTATTTTCCTGTGTACCATAACCCAGGGTACAGAATTCCAAGATAAGTTTCTCTCAGACGTCTAATGAAGACGTTTCTCAGTGTGGTAGCTGACTGTAGGACAAGACTTGCTGCCCCAGAACCACAGCTCCTATTTTCAATTGAATTCATTGCTAAACCAAGAGGAGGAGGCGGCAGTGAGAGGAAACCATACAGCTTCTTATTACAGCTGAGTTCGGAACAGCAGCCACAGTAATTGATCTACTATATTTAGATCTAACTTTCCCCTTTTGACAAAGATTACCTACAACGACATCATGAAATTTAGCAAAATATTGAGAGGAAACGCTTTGCACTGTTCACACAGCCAACTGCTCAAACAGCCAGGACTGGTTTATCAAGGAGCAACAACAAGAAGCCTGAGGCATGGCACACTGTGCCGTGACGAAATGATGAATTTTGTGAAGTTACTGAAGCCTGATCCAGAGGCTAATATGCTCCTGTGGCATATTAGCCCCGTCAGGCAATTAAACTTGTCACTACATATGAGTACCCAGTGATATAGCACAGATTGCAAGATCCTTGTTTAATGGGAAACACAGAACTGGACTAGACCAAAGCTGGTGTGTGGGCTAGTGAGGTATAGCCTGGCTTCTCTTCAGCTTTTGCAGCTCAGCTCTCTGATCCCCTAGAAAGCTCACAAAGTTGCCTCGTGTTGTCTATAAAGGTGCTGCTCTCGCATGCTCAGAGTGACTCAGGAGGCTCTCACCAAATTGCTCGGCTTCCAGATTTTAAAAAAATACAGCATATATAACCTTGGAGTAAACAGAGTTCTTTGTCTGCTTTTTTTCCCATTTTCATACAGATGCTAACTGTGATTTATGAATGTGCTTTGTTCTTCTGTTCCTTTTCCAAGAGATTTCTGTAATTCATATTTGTAAAGTTCTCTACTGTTCTCTGTTCCTTTGTATTGCAAATACATGTCCTTGCTATCACTTTGCTTTATGACCCAGCAGTAACACGAGTACCTTAGGTACGCACCCAGATACTGGCTACCTTTAAACAAACGAGTATCTGCACATCCTTACTCACCTCTCTTTTACTCACATCTCTTTTTCCTGCAGGCAATGCAGTAAAAATGAGGTTCATGAGAACAAACTCTAAGAGTTTAGACAAAAAAATGTTCCTCCTCTCTATAAAGAGATTAATTATGACCTGTCATTTAGACCTTTCTTTGCATCTCTCATCTAGGGGACCCGAAGTGTGTACCGTGTATTGCAAACATCTAAAACCAGCATTCTGCATAATTAAAAGCTGGATATAGTCGAGAAGTCATTATGCTTTAGGCATCTCTTTAGGAATTCTAAGTTTTCTTTCCTAGAGATATTACGAGGAATAACCTGCAAATTTAGGTTTCTTCATGCTTTATCCTAGTAAAAGGTTAAAGAAATTAGGTTAAATTACTTACTTGGAGTATGGGAAAGCCATGATCGAGTTTGCTCTTAACCTTCAGGGATAGAAATTCACCTCTCAAAACACAGTCTAACTGTCAGGTGAAGGTGATTAGAGGGAGGAGCTGTTACCTTATTACTTCAAAGCTGGTTTACTTTGTGTAGAAAATCTAAAGAGCCATTAGAAGCACAAAACATAACTTGGAAGTAGATACCATGCCTCTTGTATTAAAATTGCCACCATATAAGCACTAAAGAGAGAAGAGACTGGAACCCTACATTCTCTTTTCAACGTGGATGTGCTGTGGTAGAGTCTCTTCCTAACATTTTCTATGTAGCGTATCAGAAAAAGCATGTAATTAGCACAGAACCTCTGTCAAAATGTTTATGTTAAACAGATTTAAATGTTCAGAACAATCCCTGTCTCTTCATTTCCTTTGCTGAATTTCTGCAGCATATGGAACCTACTTTTTCAAGTCTCTAAATGAGACAGAACTACACAAACAGCACTAGAGGGAGGGTTTTTTTTCCTAATGTTTAACTTTATTTTGTTCTCACTGCCCTCCTGCAGAAAGGGTACTGGGATTAGACTTCAGCGTTGGACAAAAAAATGTCCAAATCCAATTCATCTGGAATGTTTCTATTTCAGTGAATGATATCAGCTACTTTTAAATCTTTCTTTCGGCCCTGCACTAGCTTTTGTCAATCAGACAAATATTTAACTCGGGCAGAATCAGTATTTACTTTCCTTAGTGGGATGACAAGAAGTCAATATAATTGAAAGTAGTTGTTTGTTTCTAATAGTCTCCTCGATAATTTGCAATTGAGGAGGAGCAGGGAGCTCTCCCTGGTTTGACTGAACGTGCCACGTTCCCTGTCCTGACTTTGCCACACGTGGCTGTTTCCAGGATGATCTCATGAAGGGGGTGTTGATAACCCCGACAGAAGTGCTCTCGTCTCAGTTACGCTGGGATACCTGTTAAACATGCTCAGTACATTCTGCTGTGACTCTAGAAAGCTAAATCCTCCAGCATACGGCTGCTCTGCAGTTGGGCAGGGGTGTTAGAGAGAACAAGAATCCTCTTCTGCCCGAGCCATGTTATCCTGAGCCACGGGGACAAGGCTCTCCCAGCAGTATTTCACTGCTCTGGGCTGTTTTCCCTTAAAGCAACAGGTCTTGTAAAATCTAAGTGTCATCAAGCTACTACTCTGTCACAACCTTTTGCCTTTTCCATGTAGTCTCTCCCATGGAAAGGATGTCTTTCGATCATGGGTGTGTGCTCCCTGAGCACCTCCCTGAGCAGTAGTTCAAACGGTGCGCTCCAGCGGCACCAAGCACCCTTCCCTTGCAGCCTCCGGTGTGGGGATATTCCTGCATAAAGGAAGCCGTAACGATGAAACAATGATTGATACAGAAAATACACACTTGAAATGAATCAAAAGATAAATGGCATCATGTTTGTTATATATATGTGTGTGTGCATATATATATATATATGTAACATTTGGTTTTGACAGGCTAGAAGAAGCTTGGTCACTGTATGAATAAACCCAGGTTTTTGTCAGGGTCCAGATGACCACTCAGCTTGTTGCCATCATATTTTGGAGCAAAACACCCAGAGCGTTGGATTTCACACAGGGATTGCCTGCAGCTGACAAAGAGAGCGAGCCAAAATCTGCTCTCGGTTCACTGAGGTAAAGAGAACGGCTTTCCCAGACCCAGGAAATATATTCTGTAACTACATTTATGAGCTTAGGCCCTCACTCAAGCAGCAAAAGCTTCTAACTCGACTGTTTTTTAACTCCTTTGAATTTTCATTTATATTAAAACGGTCTCTCTCATGCAAAGCAGGAGAAAGGGTCTCTCCTGTCATACAGAAAGCACTAGTTCAGACGGCCTCACGTTATTCCCAACACAATGTTCTTCAGCAACTCTTCAGACAATTTAAGACAATAGATTATTAAAAACATAGAGTTTTTGTCGTTACTGTTATTGTTGTTACTGGTAGGGAAGCTCCATTGGCAGCTGAAGAGCCACGAATGTTTTCAAGTAAGTACATCTCACTTGTTCACTTTTATTTTTATGAATGAACTCCCCAAAACTAAGTAAACCTTTTTCTTTATACCACTGTAATTTTAAAAACAAACAAAAAAAGCTGTGGTCCTGAGTTGAAAATGTTTAAAGATTTGGTTCTTTTTGCATTTATATATTTAATGAAAATAAAATGTGTTTATTTGATTATATCTTGCAATGTCTTCAGGTTTTTTCATTATTAATAAAATTGTAAGCAAAATATAACATGGCTTACAAGCAAAATGTACCTTTGCTCATGAGGACCAGGAGCAAGATGCTGTGGAGCTTTGGTTTTGCTGTTATTCAGAACTTAACAATTATGAATTTAACAGTTCCAATGTACCTAAATACTTTAACTACTGTTTATAAGCAAATGTGTAAAACTTACGACGTGGTGGGTAAGGTGTTGCCCTGACATTCAATAGCTCTTATTAGACTTATTAAACTAAAGACAAAGGTTTTGCAGAAGGTCACTCAAATTCTTCCTCTCAGAATGGGAAATAAGGTGGTAGAAAAATTGATTTCGAAACCCGAAGGGATATGGTGATAAATATATTAACGTATGTTGTGAGACAGCATTCATTATGTAGCCCAAGATGTAAGGGATAATATTTATGAGCAACTTTCTATGATACTGGAAAGCTTTTCTGTCTTCTGCATGTGCTAAAAATCGATCCTTAATCCTCACATTTACATTTTTTCCCCAAGCTTCCACCAACACAGATTTTTATGAAAGTAACAGATGCCAAGTTTACGTAAAGGCTAATTACTCTTCTTCCAGATGACCCACTTATGGTACGTACCAGTGTTCGACAGTGATCCCACAACCATCTGGCCAACGCACTCAGAATCATGGAAAGGTTTGGGTTGGGAGGGACCTTAAAGATCATCTCATTCCACGGGCAGGGACACCTCCCGCTAGACCAGCCTGCCCAAAGCCTCTGCCAACCTGGCCTTGAACACTTCCAGGGAGGGAATAACCTGCACCAGTGCCTCACCACCCTGCACCTAATCTAAATCTACCCTCGCTCAGATTCAAATCCTTACACCTTGTCCTCTCACCACATGTTCACTCCATTGTACACTGTCTTCATGCATTAAAATGGATTAATCCTAATGGATTAAAACTAGAGATGGATGGGTTCAGACAGGACGTTAGGACGCTCTT